GGGTGTGTCTGTGAGCCAGACTAGTTTTGGAGAATTCCACTTCTCATCAGTGACCCTGGAAACTACCACCAATGAAATATCAGACCAAACCAAGCCTTTATAGTAGTGAGGTATCGAAAATCGAAATGTAATCCAACCAAACCCAGAGGGCAACATACTACGTGACACACAAAAATCGATATTTACTTTCAAATTAAAAAATCAACTAATGTATAATACTAAAAGTTGATGCTAAACTAATTGATATACATTTATAAAATAATAATTAAATAAAATTTTGAATATAAGTCTACAAATGTAGACCCCTACCTGTGTCCATAGGGTTAAGGTTAATTTGTAAAAAAATATTGATTTATTTTAATGGAAATATATAAAAGTAAATAGGAAATTTTAAATACATTGAGTTTTTAACATACTAGGTGTTTTTTTGTCAGGACACTGAGATGTATTATGAAGAAACGGACACTCCAGCAATGGCTAGGACATCAAATCTTAATGAAGAACTGGGCCAGGTGAAATTTATTTTTTCTGACAAGACTGGTACTCTTACTAGAAATATCATGGAATTTAAACGTTGTTCAATTGCTGGAACTATATATGGGTAGGTCAAATAAATCTTTAAAAATACCTTGTTTATTTACATATTCCATAAAATATTTTTGCCTGAACATTATTATTTAAATAGATATTGTTGATCTCTGATTTTTTTGTTGAATAGTATGAAAGTTTTGTTGATGGACTTCTTTTTCATACTTTTGACTGATCTTTTCCTGTTGCCCCCCAGTGGCACAGCGGTATGTCTGAAGACTTGCAACGCTAAAAACTGGGTTTCGATACCCGTGGTGGGCAGAGCACAGATAGCCCTTGTGTAGCTTTGTGCATAACTAAAAAACAAACAAACAAATAATCTTTTCCTGTTTTGAATATTACAAGATGTTGTTTATTTTTATTAACTAACTAGGACCTAAACTAGTTTTTTCTCTCTCTCTCTCTCCCTTATCTATTTTTTTGTAGGTGTTTTGAAGCTGCCAGAGAGTCTGATAAATTCTGTTTAGTATGACATATGATGATCTTTTTTTTGTTTTTCTGAATTAATTGTTGTTATTTTTTGCCATGGATTTTGAAATAAACTGACAGTGATAAAAACATTTTATGATTACCAGAAGTATTGAAATTTTATTTTTTTTAAAATTTTTTTTGGGTTTCAAGCTTGTTTCTAAACATTTTGTATTTGATGAATTTATATTTCTGATAAAGGTAAGGATTTTTAAAAAAAAATTATGATATTTTTATGTGTCTCCTTACTATAAAATATCAATGTTTTATACATTATTTTATGTTAGTTTTTCTCATTGTATTTAAAAGTTATATTTTGAAACATGTTGCTATCAGTACTTCCAAAGTTAATAAAAATCAGAGTATGATTGCGTAAAAGGTGGACCACCTTGTGGGCTAGTCATTTTAAAATTCAGGTTTATAGTTGCAAGTGGAGTACAAAAGTCACTAACTCAAAGAAGTTTACAGTTAGTATAAAGAATTGACTTGGGGATTGAGATTCAAAACACAAACAACACTTTAATGCAATATATTAAAATACTTGGCTACATCGAGATTACTGAAGGTATCTTGAAACATTTCAGTGTTAAAACTATTAAATTCTTCAATCTGAGCAGGTAACTGAACTTTAATTAAACTTTCCATAATATCCATTAAATTACTTAATACTATCAGTAAGTTATCAAGTAACACATTTATTAAAAACTGCTCACATAAAACCTTTGTTGCTTCTTTAATATTAAGCACTGTACGTTCAAATTCTAACTACATTATTCGATTCTGAGAGAGAGAGATAGCAATAGTTACTTACACAGATCTTGAGCAGGAAATTGTAGACGTCTTCAACGTTGTTATGGGCTCGGACATAGTTGTATCAGGCAGCATCAGTTCTTCAGTCAGCAGCTTCTTCATATAAGCCAGGAGATTGTAAAGATTTCAGTTGACAAACTGGCAGCAGGACCAATGGCTTCTTCATATGACTTTTAGGCCCAAAACATGGGTTTTTATACAGTTTTCTTTGGTATTCTTATGATTCTCCAAATAGTATACACATCCAACTCACAAGTAGATCTGTCACTTAATTGGATGAATTTTGTTGACTCCCTGTAATTCTCAGAACTAAAACCAAAACTAATTGAACAGTTGGTTATGATTGAAGATGGTAAATTGGTAGCCTGTTTGCATCTATTTCTTCTCATCTTCTTCAGATCAAAGTTCCACCCAGATTCTCTGATTTCCTTGCTAATTCATTTTATGTAAGTTGTGTCCATTCGCTAATGAAGTTAATATAAACTTTCCCTCTGCTGCTTTGGTGTCAATCTATAGATAATGTAAATAGTTTATTCTCAGTACTGCCTGGAATGCATCTTAGTTTATACCTGACATATACATTTCCTTTCTAGTTCAAGCATCATTGTGTAACTCCTTGTATGCATTCATTAGATGTGCCCAACGTTTTTTCATGTATGTATATCATACATGGAATTTTATGAAATTATATTTCTCATCTGTTGAAGCATTTGAAAATAGCATAAAAATTTCTTAAAATGCTGCAAATGCTTCAATTGTAAAACTTACAGATGAAAATGACTGATATAAAATAAGGATGATTTTGGCTTGTAAAAACAGAACCATGTTAATAACTTTCATAACATTTTGAAAAAATCTGGAATATGTAGAAAATGTCTGGAAAACTATAGTTATTGCTGTTTACAAATATGCTACAATTATTCACACTGTGTAGTGGATATACAAGTTGCAGTATTTGCACCAGGGCAACCATCGTGGAAATATTTGGCAACATTACATAAATCATGGACCTAATGAACCATGACAACAGATCTTAAATATGGAAACTGTCACCTACTGTCACTCTTTTATGCTCACTTGACTGCTGCAGTGTTACTTTTCACCATGTAAACATAATGAAGCTTAGAGTTATTATATAAAACAGAACATGAAATTAATCCTGTCCCTCCCATAATATGGTTTATGTGTTTGGGTATACAAAATCTCATCTTAAGAAGTTGTGACATGTAAGTGTTTGTTTCAAATCTTACAAAAGTGTTAGGAAGCAGCATCATGATGATGTCCATTTAGTAGGAAATTTTTAACATGAAAGGATTTAGATCTTCTCATGTAGCACACTTACAATGGAATGTTATACTAAAGAATTATTGAGATGATCTGAGTCTGTAGACTTATAATGCTAGAAACCAGGTTTTGATACCTGTTGTGGGCAGAGCACAGATAACCTATTGTGTAGCTTTGTGCTTAACTTCAAACAAACAAACAAAAGATGATCTGAGTCACTTGAATTACAAAATAAATACAATTCTGGGAAGAATCAGTTAGTCCCACAATGAATCTGTTACTTGCTCCACCAATATTCAGGGAAACTGCTAAAGATTACCTTGAGTAGATCCTTTATAAGTTCTAACATGCGAGGTAATTTATTTGTTGGACCACAATAGTAGAATAACTGATAAAAAAACAGCTTCAGTTTTTACGTAAGTGGAATCACATTCCATACCAAATATGTAAGTATGTTTTTTTAATGAATGACAGGTAGTTTATTCTGCACAGAGGTATGTCAATGTCAGGTAACTTCTAATGATTGTACTGGTTATTTGTCAACTTATCATTCACAAGTATTTTTATAATTGAACTTTATTATGCATTACCTTTTTTTTTATAGGGGGTCAGGAAAACAATTTGATGGGTCTCAGCTGTTACATTATCTCAAGCAAGAAGAGGTAAGTGTGATCTAAGTTAATTTGGATTAGCTCCTTCCAACCTGCTGTCTAGTGTTTTTGATTGGAAGTTGAAAAAAATTATATATATTTACCCTACCCCTCAAATTACCTACAAAATAGAACCAAAATAGTGTTTTAATATAAACGTGTATCAGAAATGGATTTTACTGTAAAAGAACAGGACCATCTGGTATCAATAGTTAAAGGTTTGTTTGTTTGAAGTTAAGCACAAAGCTACACAATGGGCCATCTGTGCTCTGCCCACCACAGGTAACGAAATCCGGTTTCTATTTCTAGTGTTGTAAGTTCTCAGATATACTGCTGTGCCACTGGAGGGGGGGGGGGGTATAGTTAAAGGGACTATGATTAACGATAACTTAAAAATTAAATAGGGTTTTTTTTCATTTTGTTAACTGTACTTACAATCATACTTATGCATTTGTTTGAATAAAGTAATAAAATAACTAAAACTGTAAACCCTTATTTTCCTAATTGTAATTTTTATTTGAGCTTTACAAATACTTAAACTTCCAGCCTGAAAATATAAAACTTGCAACATATATACAGCATAACTGTAATTTTGTGGTATTTGTACATGTTTGTTGCTTATTTGTAGCTCAAATAGTTTGAAAATACTAAATTTTTGAATTTAGTGGAGTCAAAGACTATACAGTTCAATTAACTGCACTTTTTGTTTTACAATTTCTAAATTTCTAAAGCTAACAAAATTATAAATATATTGTCTGAAAGCTGTGATTATTTTCTTTCATGAAATCCTTTTGCCACAGAGCTCTTATTCTACCTTATATGGATTGTAAATTTATAACCTTCTAGTTATAACATTCAAAGTCTTTGTTTGATTACATCTTCAAATAATCTAACTGTTTCGTGGTTTTGCATTTTTTTTCGTGATGTAAAAGTAGTAAATTAATTTTCTTGAAGTCATTACTTTGGCAATTACTTTTTATTTTACAAGAACTTCAGAAGTTAATTTGAAACTAAAGGAATCTTATAGTATGTCTGTTCTAGTATAAGCTTAAAATGTAGCAGAGCTAACTTTTATAAATATGATTTAATAAGATTAGTAAAACATGTTTAAATAAATAACACAAGGTAATTTCAAACATACAAAATTTTTCTCCCTTCTCACACTTTTAACATCAGCTTACCAGTGGTGGATTTCCTGTTTAGTTCAGGTGCTAAGTTCTTTATGGCAAATGTTTCTTTTAACCATAGCCACTTCTCATTTTCAGTCTTTCTGATAATTTGGAATTGTTCAATTTTTACACTTGCATTCCCACATTCTTCTTTATGTTGGAAAATGTTTGAGAATTCTGCATACCTTGGCACACTATGTTTTTTAACTCAATCACTAAACCTCCTCACCGTCGACCCTATATACACACTATTACAAACAGAGCACTGATATCTGTAGACGACATGTGATCGGTCTACTTTGCATATTACAAAATAGTTCCTTATTCTGTATACTGGTTTAAATACCACATGTAGTTCAACTTGTGGGTAAACATTACAAAGTAAACCAGTATTTACAAACATATCCAAAAATCTATTTCATGATGAGACTTATATTTTCTGTTTTTCTTTTCTGTCATATACTAGTGTTGTTTATTGTTTAACTCTTCTTCATACAGTTAACATGCTTAACTTTGGGTAGAAATGATTCTTAAGTAGCCAACAGATGCAGAAATTTTCAACTTGTTCTTTCTCTTGTTTTAATTACACCATTTAAATCCAAATATTTACCAAATATTTTTGTCTATTTTGCTTCCAATTCAAACTTTATTCCCATGAGAAACACATCGACGAGCTTAGATGAATTTTTAACAGCTCTTGTTACATAGATAGAAAGCCAAACAAATTGTGATAGTTTTATGGTACATTGTATGATTATGCAGGTTATTATTCTGTGTTCTTTTATGCATTATGTAATTAAATAAAAAATTATTTACTGCAGTATTACCATTAGTATAAAAAAGTAGGGTTACGTTTCATTGACAGTTGACAGAACGTGCATTTTTTATTTATTATTATTAAAGTAACTAAAATGTAAAAATTAGAAACTATTTAGGTTAGATTAGGTAAAATAAAGAATAATAATAAAAACTAGCATGAGGTACACTCGCGAGCTGCTCATGCATTTTGTAATTCAATAGGATAATGTGAGTTGTTCACCAAGTGATTTACAACTTGTGTGGTGATAATATTAGTTAGACATGGTTCAAAGGGTAATAAAACATTAAAATTTAAGTATAAGGAGATGCAGAGCTCTAGATAAGGATGCATACTGTGTATTTATGCATATTTTTCTCCCAAAAATGTATTAAAAATCAGATCTAGGTGTACAAAAATGCTTTTAAAATCAGCTGGTACAGATTCACTGTCTTTATCTGGCATAAATCTATGTATGCTAATCAAGCACGTTCGACTGGTTCCTACTTTCCAGATAAATATGACACACTGCTTCAATTTTAGCAGAATCAGTCAGTCTGATGCAAATCTGAGTTGACAAAAGCTTGATGATTTTTATCGACTTTTTTAAGCACTCACAATACAAAGGATGACAAAAATGTTGTCTCATCGACAGTTTAGTGTGTAACCAGGGCAATTTAAAAAGAATTATGTGACAAATATGAGGTCAATGTACAAATATTTCAAACGAGATGATAAAACTGAAGACAGTGCAAAGATTATACAAACATTTACCTACTCAGAGTATGTGTCAGAGTGTTATACAACTGCATAAAGAAGTGATACCTGAGTTTGCAAAGCTGTGTATAATAGCTCTATGTATAGCTGTTACAAGTGTTGAGTGCAAAAGGAGTTTCAGTGCCCAAAATAGAATAAAAAACAAATGCAGATGTTCACTTGAAGTAAAAACTCTAGACAGTCTTTTGAATATTCAAATGAGTAATATTCAGTTTCAAATTATGATCCAGTTAGAACAGTCAGGCTATGGGTTACAAAAAAGAAAAGAAGAAAGGGATGGCTTTGTCAATCATATATTCCTAAGGCTAAGAAGCCAAAGGAGTGCTTCAGCTCCCATAGTTGTTGTTGAACAAGTACAATATATTAGTATAAAATGTAAATATTTTATAGACGTTTATGCAATTGGACATGTAAATATGTGAAAAATTTTGAAATTAAACAGTTAAAGCTTTTGGTAATCATGCACAGAAAGTGCTGGAATCTTTTAAATCTAGTCACAGTTCAGGGTATATTATTTAGCAGAGGCGGAGCTGTAAAAGACTTAGACACAGGAAGTACAAAGATACTGGTCTGTTATAAACACATTTATTCATATTCATTCAGCTGCGATGTAAACACTTAAATAGTCATATCAGATTTTGAGCAGGCTAGTCAAACTACACGAACCAGTTTTGTGATATAGGACTGCAGGTGAGTACCTTAAGAAAGAATGGCTTTTTTCTACCTTTAGACAGAAGACTACCTCTATGTGGCAAAGCAATGTCAAAGTAATGATTTCTATATGTACCTTTTTTGCTCCTTAAGGTACAAATATTTACATATTATAATGCCTAAGCCTTGGGCTTTATATTATGTAAGAAGAATTTGTACCTTAAGGAGAAAAAAGGTGGATTGTTTTAAATACTCATTGAAATTTTGCTTTTCAGCATTGAGTTGAATTTCAGTGACCTAAAATCTTATCTAGAGCTCTGGAGATGTATACTGGTACGAGTTTAAAACTATTTAGGATAAACGAATGTAGTTCCTCATTACAATTTGAAGTCATTATAGAAAGAAAAAAAAAGTAATTCAGATTTATTTCTAACTTTTTTTGGTGGTTATGAGGTCGTTCAAATTGACTGAATGGGTATAAAGTTAGGGTAGAGAAAATAATAGATAAACATATAGTTTAACTGACAAAAAGTTTGAAACTTATATAGGAGGTCTTAGAAGCTATGCAAATATAATTTGAACATTTTCAGAAGAAGAAAAATATTTTCAGTCTTTACATGCACTTGTCAACTGTCAACACTTTTGACTCCATATATTCATTGAAGAATTTTTAGGGAAAATACTTCATTAAAAAGTCTGATTTTATGTTTACAAATGACTTGGGGATCACTGAAAGCTTGCAAAATTTTGTGAAGATACACAAAACATATTAGAAGTTATAATGTGGAAAATATAAAGGTCAATTTGGGATTACAACTCTGCTGTGTGAGAGAGTTAAAAATGCATTTTAGTTTAATATATTAGTGAACTGTAGTAATCTTGCTGTTAAAAACAGTCACAGTTACACCCAAGGGCTTGGCCAAGGATATATCTATTGTCATATGAGGTGACTTGTTGGTTAATCATTTAAGCAGGTTTTAATGAGTTGATGATGTTTGATTATTGTGTGGAAATATAGATACTGGAAACAGAGGTTTCAATTGTTTTCTTAATGGGACTTGCCTAATAATTTGCCTTTGCAGGATTTATAGCAGAGCTTGGAAAACTAAGATATCCTCTAACTTTTATCCTGTGAGGTTGTATGTTTTTACACCTTCATTTCTGCTTTTACATATTAGCTGGATTGGAAAGAAAAAGTCATAGTAATGTTAAATGTTATTGTCTACCTGCTGACAGATGCATGTGTGAATATTATCTATTAAATAAAGTGATGTATTGATTATTTTGTATATAGTCTCTTTAGCAGTTAAGTCTTAATTAATTCACCCATGTGGTGTGACTAAGAATTTGTTATTTCAGGATGTAAGTTTGACATGCCTTTTCTTTTGTGTACTCTCATTAATCATGAGTTTTCAATGTTTCCAACATGGAAAGGTCATTTCTAAGATAAAGATGGCTACTGATGTGGGAGAAACAGCTTGAAGACTTGTGATGGGCTTGGAGAAGCCCTCTCTTAAATGAAGAATGCTCTCATATAGAGCTGAGAAACTAACTTGATTACCTAGGAGTTATAAATGGGTTAAAAATCTGTTAGCTGCTCAGAGCTGAACATAACAATAGTCAACACATGAATCATCTTTCACTAAACTGTCTACTTGTCTGTCTAAAAAGAAGTAACTGTATAAAGAATCAGGTAAAGAAAGATATGCTCTTTTTTTGGTTATAAACATGTCTAGTAGCAATGTCTGAGAGAATTATAGACATGTCTTGAAAGGCAGAGAGAGATGGGAGAGGTATGTCTTGTCAGTTGAACAAATATAGTGATATCTTAGTAAAGCAAGAAGATAAGAGGTTTAGATCTTGTATTATGACTTGTCAGTATCTATAGTATGTGTTTTTAATTGGTTTGGACAATCTAAAACCTATACAAGGGAAGAGAGCAAATTTGTAAATGAGAATTTAGAGAACAAATGTGTCACATGACACAGATCCATGAAGATTGAAAATTTACTTAAATATTTCTTTTTGAAATAATAAAACTATAACTTAGGTAACATAAAAATTTAAATTCAGACTAAATTTTCATGCTGGGCTTATTGACATAGATTGATAATAAAGTAGTTGAATTAAATTTTGAATGTAACTGCAAAAAAGGTTGTGACATACTTTGACCCTCCTGTATGTACATGGTTGACGAGCCAGATGATTAATTAGTTAGCAAAGTCTTTTAATTGTCCAACTCTACTCATGTACTTCACCAGGCCTTGCAAGAAGTCACAGAGTTGAACCACAACTTGGAGAACTCTTGAGATGCTGCACTTTACCTTGCTTCGTCTCCAGTAATCTGGAGAAACTGATGATCAAAAGTTGCTGTGGCTCTGATGGACTTGATATCTTAAAATCAAATTGGGAAGGCTTTACAAGACTCCTAGCTGAATCCCATTGATGGTTGGAATTGCTGGTCTCGAGCAGATTGAAGATTCTGCCCTGAGGGATGATATTCTCATGCTAGAGCAGTCTCACTATCAAGAGGGATGGTGGCTGGTGGGTCTCTCAGTAAGAGTTTGTGGACTGCTGTTGAAGTTCTGAGTCTTCTTGAGAAGAGATGAGGGTCACGGAAGGAAGAGTAGACAGGGGGCTTAAGATTGAGCAGAACTTTATGTTGGCATAAATGCCACATTGCTCTGCCAGTCAAGAGCAAGAGCTGCACATTTTTATTAATACTGGACCCTCAGGGTATTGAAAGGAATTGATGTCTTTATTTTTATTAGCATCAACTGTAAGCAACTTCATTCACTGCTGAAGTTTGTGATTATGAAAAAGAGCTCCTTGGTCCAACAACAACAACAAAAAAACTGATGAAGCTGGTACATGTAGTATCACTGACTAGATGATAAAGATTTTAAAATGGATGATGTTCACAAGCTAAAACTTCACACGCTTCCAACTACATCTTGAAATCATTGTTTTTTTTCATGACAAAGATGGCAAAGAAACCAGAACTAAAGTGATTTGTCTATATACATATCAAGTTAAAGTGAAGCAACTCTAATGAATTTATATTCCTCAAGTCTACTTAAATGTGGTTTTGAAAGCTGAAACAGTTTGTAGGTTTTAAGATTGACCTTGTCACATTTTGCAGAAGGTAGTTTCTATGGAAATTGTACTGTTAGGCTATAGTACATAATATGTAATAGAAAAAGGAGAACAGTCTTTTTTTTTTATATTGAAAAGCTTGTATTACCTCAGATTTTTGCCATTTGGGTGCTTCAAGAGGTTAACAACAAACAGATAATACAAAGTTTAAAAGTCTCGAAGTATGCTATTCAAACAAAGATAAATGCTGTTACTTTTAACAAGTTTTTTATAGTCTCAGAGTAAGCATTATGTAAAACAACAACCTTCTAACAAGCTTTCCAGCTACCCTAATCAAGTTGATATTGAATCAAAAGATCTGCAAATCATTGTTAATAGCTCTTAACTGTCGATACATTAACATACCACAAGAAAATCCTACGTCTAAAGAGAACGAAACCACAGATCTTTCATTAGAGAGAACATACAATCAACTGAAATTTACCATCTACAGCATTTAGTTTTTTAAGACAGAAGGTTAAAGGCATTATCAGTAAACTTTAAACTTTTAGGTTATAGTGTTAAATTTAACATGTTTGGCTAATTGTAGTTAAGCACAAAGTTTCATTACACAATAGGCTAGCTGTGCTTTGCCTATCATGGGTGTCAAAACCACATTTTTTAGTGTCATAGTAAGCTTATCTTTAGTGAAGCTAGTAACCTCAAGAAGTTGAAATAGAGGGACAGTTTTATGATTGAAGTAATTTTATAATGCTGATAGGTTTTGCTTATTCACTATGTTGACAAATATCCTAAACATCTTAATTATAATACTGATAATGCTTGTTAGCTTATATATATGTCAGAATTTTACAGTTCCTAATTTGCTTAACAACTCAAAATGACACTACAGTATGATCTAAGAGAGATAAGGCTTAAATACCACTAGACTTATTGTATCTGCTTTTAGCCCACCCCCCCTATAACTATAAAAAGTAAATAAATATATCTATTGTTACTGAATAAGTTTCAGATTGTGAAGTTTTTTTCTTATAATGAGTTGAAAAATGACTAAAATTTTTCCATCAAAGTGGACTGCACCAAACTGGGTATGAAAGAGTTATAGGAGTTAACACCTTCTTATTAACAGGAATAGAGCATGATCCATGTAAACTCTGTTTTCATCTGTTTGTATTTTGGCTTGTTATTTTTCATTTGTTGGAAAATACATTTCAACTTATTAATGTAAGCTTTGAATTAAATTTTTTTATATTGCTCCTTTTGTACAAGAAAATGTAAATTTGAAAACTGTTTCTAACCATAGATCATTTATCATTCACTGTTCTTATCCTTCAAATGTCATAAATTATATGTTACAATAATAATATAGATTCATAATTTTTATGTTTCCTTTCGTGCATATGTACAGAAATATGTAATTTTGAAATTATTGTTTGTGATATTTAGTTCTTACAACCCATACAAGGTACTGCATGTAACTGTGCTACTAAATTTCATTGTTTGAGAATTTCCACATCTAAGAGAATGAATATGAACACATTTTTAGTTTTTAAACTTTGCATTACTTGTTAGTTGTTCTGAGCTTACTACATACAACTATAACTGTAACTTCTTGAAGAAGTCATAATATGAAATGTTGAGATAATAAAACATTTATTTGCTGAAAAAAGTTGTTCTATACTCTGTTAAACTTGTGTATGTTACATTATGCATCATACCACATTTATTTTACTCAAGTATATATAATTGTTGCCTTCAAAATGAACAAATAAGTGTTATAAAAGTAGCTCCAAGGGCAGCATTGGACCTGAAGCATTATTCTCATATACTATGATTTACCTCAGTAAGACTTAATACCAAGAACTTGTTGGTTTAAACATGTTCTTAAAAACACAATTTTAGTAGATGTCATAACCAAATTGTAAGACAAAATAAGCAGTTATTTAAAATACTTGTGTTTTTCTATTGCAGATATTATCATCAATGTTGATGGAGTTCGTAAGATTGTTGGCAGTATGTCATACAGCAGTACCTGAATATGATCCAGATATGGAAACTATACACTACCAAGCAGCATCTCCTGGTAACTAAAATAAAGTTTTCTGTTTGAGAAAATACTTTAATATAACTGAGGATCTTACCTGTGAAATTGGTAATACTTGAGTTGTTTGAAATAATGTTTATGAAGCTGTAATTAGGAAAGTAAAATATTAAAGAAATTGGAAGTGATTAAAGCAGTTTTAGTTTACTTAAAGAACTACAAACCATTTAAAAATTGCTGTTATGAGTATTCATAATTAAATGGAGTACACTACAAATAATTAGGGTGCTTATAAAATTATTGTTAATTGTGCGGTACACAGTTTATTATTTGCTTGATTTTTTTGCTGTACAGACCCTTAAAGTAAGGTATTTAGAGTATAAGCATTCTAGATTTAAATTTTATAATTGATACTTTTAGTTGCCTGCTGGTCATACCATTATTTATTTGATTTTAGAATTTGTAGATGCATCTTACTTTACTATTTTCTGTGTAACTTAAAAGTATGAATTTTACTTGAACAATTTTCTTTCTCTGTACAGTATGTTCAATTCATTAGGTTTCTGTGATGACCAATCAAAAGTAACATTCTCAAAAATATAAAAGTTGGGCAGGAAGAGGCTAGTAATTTTACAAGCTTCACATTTTAATTTCATATCTGCATACTTTTTTGAAAATTTTGAGCATGGTATAGTATATATATTAAGAAGTATCCTTTAACTACAAAAGTAACTAATAAAATGATAAGTTGGATTCAACTTTTGTAATATTGTAAAATTACTGTGTAATTTGGTGTTTTCTACTGTTATAAACAAGTATTTCACTAAATATCACATTCAGAGGAACTAAATATTGTTCTGCCTTATGGTATTTAATAGGATTAATTGGAAAGCCAGTTTAACTTATTACTAAAATGCATGAAGAAAAATATGAGTTATTTAATATTAGCCCTAAATGTTTGATTTACTATCACACTAGGAATTGAGTAATTTTTTAAACATCACATTAGGAATTAAATATTTTTTAAAGTAGCTTCAGTGTTTTTTTTTCTTAAAGTTAGTATTGTAGTTGGCATAATATCAGTTTATATTTATACTTTTAAATCAGTCAAACTTAAATTCGATGACGAGGAACCCACTTTGAGACTAATAATGGCTGGAGACGGCTTGAATGGGTAATGAAGAAAAACTTTAATATAAGTTTAACATAACAGCAAATGTACAAAATTCAAACCAAACCAAACCTTAGCTGTGGTTACCACTGATGTAGTTTATATTACCACGTGGCTATTATGTTCAGTTAACACCTTAGCTTATTATGTTGTGTTCCAAAGTGCTCATCTCCCCACCTATAACTCCTCAGCTGACCTCAGATTAGCTTCTTCCCTGCATAGTTTGCCTTTGCAGACTTTTTTCATCAACCACAGTCACCTCTTCAGTAGAAGCATGTCAACAAGAGCTAATTATGGCTGTAGCATTTTCAATTCTTACTTTTGGTAGTCATTATTTTTGGGATAACCAATAACTAATGTATGTCCTCCGGCCTTGCGTCCTTCATCTACTTCTCAGTTAATGTCAGCTTCTAAACTGATTCGTTTTGATCCTAGCATGTGGCAAAATGTAGACATAAGCATGGTGGTTTTTCTTGACCCATTCAGTTGCTTTTCTCTTACAGATGAAGCTCTCATTTGGACTGTTGGGTGTCATCTCAGGTCACTGGTTCCTCTTGTTTTTTTAGGGTTTGACAAATCCTTCAGTCTTGACTTAGTGTTTTTTTCCTTTTCCTTCCAATTCAGTTACATACAAATTTTGAAGCAGGAAGTGTCAAATTACCTTCAGAAAGGAGTAGTCAAATTGTTTTCCCACTTCTATAAGTTTTTACTCCCTTCTCTTTGTGATTCTGAAGAAATCAAAATATTGGAGACCTGTTTCATTTCATCTTTAGTGGAAATACCTCATTTTAGAATGGAATACGAGGTTTTTACAAAATTTTCTTTTTTTGTGGCTATTGGATGATGATGGTAGATATATGGTATGCTTTTCTTTTTATCACTATTCATCTATGATCCTGTCATGTTTTTCTTTTTGCCATTAAGTATAGTTTATTTAGCTTGGCTTTGTTGCCATACATTTGCTGTCACATAGTCTAGTTTTACTTGAATGATTGGCTTATTATGATTCTTTTGTCCATTCAGCCTTTTACACAGTTGGCTATACCTCTTGGGTGGATCATCCACAGCTCCAATTTCCATTTAGTACCAACACAGTATTTGGTAAACTTGCTGTTTTGAATCAAGACAGTTCTAGGTACATTTCAGCTGTCTCCTATAGTATTGCAAGCCTTGAGTCTCCTGTTCATACTTTTCTGTCTTTCATGTCTACTACCAAAGACATCCTTTCTGCTTTTGGGATGATGGCTTATTTTCACAAAGTCATTCCCTTTGGGTGTGCACACATGCACTTCTTTCTTTAGTTTGTTGGCTTCTTCCCAAGGAATGTATTCTTTATTCTTTTGCTCTTCAGAAGCTATGTGAAAGACTAGTTGTTTGGTGATTAATACCTTTGCTGTGTTATTCAACCATGTTCTTACACTCCAATGGTCTCTGTTTCCATATCCAGTAGATGTCCAGAGTTATACATAGGAGAACCTCTTCCTTATGTACCCTCAGGAGTACTAAGCAAGAATATATACTTAAAGTTCAGGGTTCTTATAATCACTCCACCTTGGATAGCCTATACGTGGTTTCTTCTATTATATTGACTTTTTCTTGAGAAACCAGTTCTGTTACCACCAGAGGAACATCTACAGCATCCTCATACATCCATTTTTCATAGCAATATTCAATGTTTACAACTTCATGGCTGGCTGTTTGGTTCTTTGCATAATAAGTCAGATTCTCTCCCAGGGTGACTTGAATGCAAGCCACTGTTGCTTATGTTTTTTTCTGGCTGTCAATCAATATTGTTGGGCTAGCTTATGGAATTAGTGCATTGAACATATCTTGTTTATTACGATTTTCTGAACAAATTGCTTCTTTCTTTATATATTTGTTTCATGGTTGTTGCTTTTCAGCATCATCCATAGTGGTTATAGAGCTACCTTATCTGCCATCTTCAGATGTCATAGAAGCCATCAATTTTTTTTTCCTCCACTGTTCAAAGATTTCTTTCCTGCCTTTGTTTTCAACAATCCCAAGTTCTTCGACATTATTCTAAGCAGGACTTGGATTTAATGTTATGTTTCTTGGCTTGTCCCTCTTTTGAACCCTTTGCAACTTGTTCAATCTCTCATCTTTATATCAAACCATATTTTCCTTATTGTTAACATCAGGCAGAATATGTTCTGATATTTGTTATGTGACAGCTTCTATCAAAAGAGCTGCTAAAATTGTTCATGCTTAGTTGTAATCCATAGGTGAGTTTGCTGTTATCTGCTTAGTTACCCATTTGGATCCACAACTCTGCTGTGCATGGCCATCCAGGTATATATACTCCCCAACCACCCCCTTTTTTTAGCACTTAAAGAAATGTCTGGGGTTAAGGAATCATTATGTTTTCAAAAAAAATCTTAATCTCTCCTGTATAATATGATAGTGTGATTAAATGGATTTGTTGAGTTGGGATTTTTGTATGTTACAAATACCTCTTCGAGTGTCTTGGATAAATTTTTCCTCCTACATTGGTTCTCCATGAAAGGGTGATGCCATCTGGTAATTGATGATGCCTTGAAGGGTACCTTTTCCATTTCTGCATGCACATACTTCAGTAGCATTTGAAAATGGGCAACACCTTACAGTTTTATCTTTAACTTTTCTTAACCTTATTTAATGTTCCCACTGCTTTGTCCAAGATTTATTGAGCTTATCCTTAGGTCTACCTGGGTCTTTTTGAACCTCTCTGGGTGCCCAGTGACTTGGCTAAGATTTTCAGATGAAGTGAATGGGGCTTTAGCCCCAGGAGCATGCTCTGTCATTTGTTACTACTAGGTTTCTCTTCTGGGAATCGTTAGAATAGGTATATGATAATGTATTGTACTCTGATTGTTAGTACACATTATATGATTAAACCTAAGAACCAGGTACATACATATGGCCCATCCTCCTTGATTTATTATTAAGTTTTGTCTAGGGCAATGGTGTACCTTTTTAGATTGTTGGATATACATGACTGTTTAAGTTTAATGCAAGTGTTATGATTTAGAAGGTTTAAGTATAGCAGGAGTGTTAAATTTACTTATTTTTAGAAGCAATAGTTTATTGCAGGTTTGTTTATGTAACTGTGTATGAACTGTACATTGTGTAGTTCACCTGTTGTAAATTGATGATAGTTTTATTATTGTGTTATGTTACCTTTTATCATTGTTTTAATTGAGTATTATTGCATTGTAATATCTTGTAGTGTGTGGAAAGTTCTAGGCCTCAGTCAGGCTATAAATACACATACAAAATTTAGTTTGAGTTAAACAAATTTAGTTAGATAGAGAGATAGATCTAGACTGTTTGATTGTGAGTTTAGTCATAAAGCGTGCATAGTGAAGATTTCTAAAGTGAATTATCACAGATAATATTGTAATAACAGAGTAGAGAAGAAATAATTTGTCTTGTCAATTGTGTTCTGAAATAACTGAACCAACCTTTGACTTTGATGAAAAAGAGAGAATTATTTAAAGTTTTTGATACAACTGTAGTAACCAACAGTGTAACGTAAGTGAAATGATCACCGATTGTATTGTAATAAAAGAGCAGAGAAGAATAGTTCATCTTGTTCTAAAGTATCTGAACCAGCCTGTGTGGACTTTGACAAAAAGAAACCTTTATTTAAAGCTCTGGATACAACTGTGGTTAATAATTGTGTGATGAAAATTTGTACATACTTTTGGCTTGTTTTAATATATTATTTTAAATCAAGTGGACTGTGTGCTGTTTGTTAATTGTTGAAATTTGTCACCAAAAAGTCACAGACACCTACTGTAAAGAATCCGGCCAATACATATACCTAAAAACCTGACATAGATGGATGCTTTTCGTTCTGATTGTCCTCTTTTTGGTCCAGTTTCTTATGACACTTATCTGCTCCACTTGGTTCTTCCATGAATCCAGTTCATTGACTTTCACTCTGGTTCGTGGATTCTACTCAAACTCTGCTTGACCACATTTCATTTATTGTTGTCTAGGTTGTTATCTTCCTGCCAAAGAACCAGTTTTTGGTGAACAAGTGGTCTTTAGGACTATCATTATGGGTATTCTGACTTTTAATATTTCAGAGGCATGTCTACCTGATAAGAATTTTACATTTTTATAAATAAAATAAATTTTTAACAGATACAATACATTACTACCAACCTCCTAGTAACTAGAATGTATGTGATTTTCCATCACAACTGCAACTAAAAAACTTGGATTATGGTAGATAAGAAGAACTTATGTACATCCTCCTGATGCATGTGCAAAAAGTCACATGTAATTAGAAAAATTGAAAACTATGGATAGGTCGAAACATACTCTGCATTATGTGAAGGACATTCAGAATCTAAAATGACAAGCTTGTTGGCAGTTTGAGAGCAAACTCAATAAGGGAAAGCTTTTAATATTTCAGAGGTGAGTACCTGTTTGAAATTCATTTTAATTATAAAAAATTAAAAATAGGAATAATAAATAAAAATTAACTTGGATCAAAATTCAAGAAGAAGAAAAATTCATTTGTGAAAGCTCATTTCACATGTGATGTGGGTGATACTCAAGGACCACACCATAGCAGCTCTCTTCATTTTGGAGCATTGCTGCTTAATAAATATTGTTTCTCCATAAATATGTGGATCTGTTGCTTTTTGATTCAGTATCTTTAGTGCTTGTTATGTTATATGAACAATTTTAAAGAATGATGATTAAGACACAACAATAATAAAAAATAAATATATTTGAATTTCTTTTAGGTGAAACGTATTGTACAAATTCATATGGTTTACTTGCTGTAGAGAGATTTTTAAGTATCAGTAATAGGAAAAAAGGTATTTGTTATAACACATTGCACATGGAGCTATATGTAGAACATGTATACCAAAAAATATAAGACAAAAACTTTGGTTGAGAAAGATGCATTACAGAAAGTAACATTGTGTTTTTTTTCAACCATTAGATGAAAGTGCACTAGTTAGAGCAGCCAGTGACTTGGGTTTTGTCTTTACCACAAGGACACCTGAATATATAATTGTTAATACAGTAAGTATTATATATATACTTATACAAGTCTCCAAAAGAATAATTTGGTATTGTAGTTCTAATAGAAATACTTTAACAAAAAAGGTGAGAAGTTCATTGGTCAGAGTTATGTGTTTATCATACTGCATATTGCTGTCTTTTAATCGTATGTTTTTTTGTGTTCCATTAAATTAGGATGATAAAACTTCTGTATCAAGTAAGTGAACAAAAAACTGTCATACATTATTTATATAGCCAGACTCCATGAATAAGAGGAAAGCACAACATAGCATGTAGATGTGGAAGCCAGTGATACGACACTGAAGAAGCAAGTGAAATCAGTTTCTTTACTTTCCTTTTATGGAAGTTTGATGAAATATGTACAAAGACTATAAATAACACAACATATTGCTAAATGCAACTGTTACATTTGGTTTTGAAAAGTGGATAAAGTAAATATACAATAATTTTTCTTACAGGCATTTGATCTCTAGTCTGCCTGGGTTACACAATATAATTATTGAAGCATACATAAATATTACATACTTTACTCTCCTGTAATATATATATTTTATACCTACAAATAATTTTAAGTTTTAAATTGGAATTCTAAAACGAATTGAAATTGTATGCTAAATTTATCCTTAGGAGTGACAAGGTCCAGTCATGGGAAATGTTTAATGTTTCATAGGATAGTTGCATGGTGTTTTAACTTGTGTATAGAGGACTTCTACATGAATGTTACAGGGAAGAAAGATGTTTTTGGGTTTTTAGAATCCAATTTTTTAATTTGCAAAGAGAAAATGCATTGGGAACACAGTTTTAGTATTTTCAGGCAGGTTTATTTCTAGCTTGAAAGAGTCAAAAGTAGAAAGAAGAAAACTCGGTGATGCCTGTACTGGTGAAACCACAGTAGAATAAATGAAATATTTGTGAAATATACAATTTTCCTCAATTATTTAAGAAGAAAACTGTTTTTGTAGTATTTGTTAAGTATCTTTGCTACTGTTTTGTATGCCTTAGAATTTTTGCTGAGTAGATCATGCATTGTTGAAATGGTTGACGAATTTTTTACTGTAGAAAGAAGAAAACTTGTGAAACCACAGTAGAATAAATGAAATATTTGTGAAATATACAATTTTCCTCAATTATTTAAGAAAAAAACTGTTTTTGTAGTATTTGTTAAGTTTCTTTGCTACTGTTTTGTATGGCTTAGAATTTTTGCTGAGTAGATCATACATTGTTGAAATGGTTGATGAACTTTTGAGAACCAGAAATTGTGGTTACATATTGGATCACATAATTGCAGGAGTACAATTTCACTGTACAACAGATTATAGTTCTTCTGTAGTAGAATGTCTGACTAATGGACATAATGCTACCACAAAAACTAAAGTCTTAGACAGACATCACAAGAAACCATGCAAACATTGAAGATTTCACTGATGGATAGATGCTGAATACAATGAAAGAAAAGCTTTGAGAAGAGCAGTTGATGCACTCAGACCTAACCTAGGTGATACTTGTTATGCATCTATCACAGATGAATGAACATAGAAGCATGTAACCTCTGACAGTTGTTTGAAATTAGAGGTACCCTGACCATTTGTACTCTATATGACAACCATGCATCTTGACAATAGCCCTGTAGCATAGTTTCCATTCCAAAAGGCTCATAGTGAAGCTGTCATGTCCAGAGCACACCACTCCTTTTGTGCTTACCATAATCCTTCTACTGCACAAAATTGGTGTTTTCCCAGTGCTTGTTTTGAATAGTCCAATCACACAGAATACAATAGTTGCTGTATCCAGTGACTTCATTGTTATGTCTTTGTATGCAATAGCACAATTGGCCATTTCTTCTCCAGCTGCTTGAAGTATGCAACAATTGAAGAGAGGTATGACTGGAAGCTTTATCTTAGTGAATCCATATTCTCTTGGCCTTATTTCCATACATGTAGATCTTTCTTCATTATGTTGCACTCTGTTGCCTGGAGTGCATAGATAACTTTTGATATTGACTTTTGTATTCGTGGATTCTTGCCTGTTACGAGGTGACACACATTGTCTACTATGGCTTAGATGTGACTTGTTGCAAGTCTCTTTCTGGATGGTTCTGGTGCCTTAAGTTGATCCATATTTCTTTGTTTCTCAGTGTCATGAAGTAGAAAGATACTTCTGATCTGAGAATATCATTATGTTGTGAGTGCATGAAGACTTTGCATCAGAAAAATCTGTAACATAACTTTTGTTAAAGTGATCAGTTTCAGTAGTACCACATTAGCCAGGAAATACCAAATAGTGTCAAAATGTAGTCCTTATACAGTTTGTTCCATTATGACTTTATATGAGCTGTGGTTATCTCTTGATTTGCTGACTTGAATATTCAAAATTGTTTTAATATAACATACTCAACCTTCTGTAGTAGGGTCTTCATTCCAGATAATAGCTTTGGATATCACAAGACTCCTCTCTGAAACTGAACATGATTATCTATATATATACTGGTAAAAATCAGTTAATTTACTAAATGAGTTAAAGTATATTCACACTCCATTACATTGGCTCAAACAGTTAAGCTCCACACTGATCAAGGAGAAAACTTTTAACATTTGGCTGTTGTGTAAGATACAGTTGTAGTCAGTCTGATGGTTTGACTGAGCAACTTGTCTATACTGTACAGTGTAGGCTTTGTAAGTGTGTGAGCTTGGATTGAACTTATTGGGATGATCACTTGCTATATGTTATTATGGTATATCAGTGGTATTACATAATAGAGTAGTAGTCCATTGGCTTATGTTAACATTCATATGTGAAGTTATGCTCAAAGTTGATCACATGCATAGCATTCCTTCCACCAGCTGCAAAGTTGCTAGAATGTCTGTAAAAATGCATGAAGTGGTTGCAGTCTGCCTTAATTGATACATGAGTTGGCATCTCAGCAGATGGAAAAAGCAGTTGAGAGTGTACATCAAGATGGTGAAAGAACATCAGTTTGAGAGACAGCTTTCAGTGTTTAAGATAGTCGATTGATTGAGAAATTAAGGGCTTAAAAGGAGTAGCAACCTTTACTTTTTGACCTACAAGAATTTGGACAGCTAATGTTAGTAGACATGCTGCCTGGAACACCAACAATATGTGTGTGACTGGATATGATCAGTAGGATTTCAAAAACATTTGAAAGGTGAAAGTAACTTGTGACCCTTACTATTTAAGCTGTCTGGTAAAATTTCACAATGAAGTATTTGCATAATAGTTTGCATTATTCAAACAGTTTTAATTTGTGGAAATAGTGCATGGAGATTGCTTAAGAACCTACAGTGTCAACAGCTCACAAGCTGCTGACAATCTGAGGTATACTATGTGCACTGAACAAATGTTCGTCACTTTTTCTTTTTTATTATAGTTTAATTTTTTCTTGGTAAGATCAACATAACTTCAACACTTGAGTGTGTATATGTATGTGGTATTAAGGTACACTGATGTCTTACAGATAATTTTAAAAGTATCCACAAAATGCATATCCAGCAAGTTAATATTAACTTCTGATCAGAGCTAGCTATGTACTTAGAGCTAAACTAAAAATCAACCTGGCAATCAGTATTGGTACTGCAGAGAATTGTTTCAAACTTTAACAGCAAAGGAAAGAAAAGCACATGCAAATGAACAAATAAAGCAAAGTCTTTTGTATCAAGTAATTTATTTGGACTATCACTATGTTATTTAGTGTTTGTTTAGTTTTTAGTACACAAGCTTTCAGCTTAATTACCTGAGTCTTCTACAGGTAAGCATTTTATTTTATTTTTTTTAAGTTTTTAGTGTTGACTGAAGGATGGAAACAATTTTAAATGAAGACAACAAACAACTTCAGATACTGTTGATTAGAATAAAAAAATCCGAAATTGTTTGTCATCTTCATTAAAAATGTTTAGTAAGCAACAACAAAAACAAGAATGTGCCCTCTTTATCTTTACAATAAGTCTGAAGCCTAATAAGCTAAAATGAAATAATAGTACTAGTTAAAGTGTTGCAAGTCATATTGTTATTGTGACTCATTAACAGAATGTTAGAAAGACATGATCAAAAGTAAAAATAAATAACGTAAATAAAATGAAAGAGAGACAAAGAAGAATGTTAGGTTAGTTTTCTTACAGCACCAGAGTAAATGCAATGGCTTCATTCCTTTAATCAAAGGTAGCTAACAAATGTGAAGAGAGAATCCATGATTTTGGCTAATATCTGTAGGAGAACCATATTCATTCACTGCTATTCCAGTGGCTTCTAGATTTTTTCTTTTTTTTAGCATCACAGTCCTTGGCAATCATTTTCATATTCTTAAGGTCAGTGTTGTGTTTATTTTTCTGTGGGGTGTAATACAATAGCTGAAGTATCTCTTTTATGATGCCTCTCTGGTTTTCATTCATTTGGATGTTAAAAGGGTATTTGGTCTCTCCATTGTGCTATTTTTACATTCACACGATACATTATAGACAGTGTTTTTTGTAGAGAAGTCAAAAGCTGCAACTTAGTTTTAGTTAAGATATTGCAGAAGTTAGTTGGTATCTTGAACACAGTTTGAATGTTTAAAGTATTCATTATCCTTTTTATTTTTTTCTACAAGTTCTGGAAAGTAGTGAAATTAAATCCAAAATTATTTTCTGTTTATCAGACTGGCTTACTTCTATTCTGTAGTAGCTACATTGCAGTGAAATAGAAAGAAACAGAACTTTATAAAATAGTGTCCTGTGTTTCATGAACTAATTTCAAGAAACCCATGTATTTGCATATTATTACTATTACTAGTTGATCAGTTAACACTGATTGAGGGTTTAAAATGCTTCTTATATCATGACATCAGTCTTTCGTGTTTGAAAAATGTATGAGGACCGTAAACAGCTCCTGCCAAACAGTCCAAAGGGGCTGTTAGTGGACTGATAATGTATCTTGGGTTTTGTGTAGAAAACTGGACAATAAAAGTTAATTTGTATTGACATAATAGTGCTACTTTTCTATCAAGTGAATCTGTGGTCTCATTTGAAGAGCAGAGTAAGGGTAAGGAGCAACTATAAGGCCTGATACATTAATTTGATGAATAATCAAACAAAGTGACAATCATTAAAATATTTATGTCCAGTAAAAGTGGTAAAAGTATAATGTGATAATCTCCTTAAAGTCTAACTAATAACATCTTGACCAGAATCATTTGGTAATTACTCTTACTTAACACTTGCCATGAGCAGATCAAAGTTTGCATGTCACTAATTTTTAGAGTTACATTCAAAATTTAATTAAACTACTTTATTTTCATGGTATACAAATATATTAAGCATCAAAATCTAGCTAATAAGCCAATTTTTAGTACTGTATAAGTTTTAAGCTCTTTGTTTTATAAGGAAATATTAAAACAAATTCTTTGTGACATTTACTCTCTAGGTCTTCCTTCTTCTCTAATTTATATACCAGTTTATATACAGTTTAATTACTTTTATAACAATAAGTAAAGTACATACCTAAATCTTCTTTTTTTGCTGTTGACTGTTGAAGATACTTTACTCTAATTTTTTTATTCTTCAATTTTGTTTAGTTACAGAGCTATGGATTAGAAAATCAGGCCTCTCCTGTCACACCTACCTGTCATATCCTCTTTTTCACAATTATTTGATAGTTCTCTCTTACATTTCATTATACATTACCTTGGGAAAGTTAACAACTAGCTTGGATGAATTTGTAATGGTTCTTGTCACACAGTTAGAAAGCTAGAAAAATTTTAAGTTAGGCAAATTTGTCCCCTTTTTGCATTTTATTAGTCTATATTCTTTGTTGCATTATTTAATTAAATAAAAATTATTAAGTGCATTACTATAAAAAATCAGGCTTAACTGTCCTTGACAATCAAGTGCAAGAAAAAAGAAGATTGGGTAAGTACTTTATTTCTTGTTTTTCATATTTATTCCTTAATTATTATTATAAAAGTAACTAAAATCTACAAATATGGATCTTTTTAAGTTATTTAAGACTAGATTAGTAAAATACGTAATAATAATAATAATAATAATAACACAATTAAAATTGTTCACAAGGCACGCATGTGAGGAATTCGTGGGTAACGTAATTTGATACCGTAATGTGAGCTACACGTTCCCCGAGTGATTTACAACTTATAATGGCACAGAAAGTAGTTAAACATGGTTCCAAGGGCAATAAAACAATAAAATTTAGTTATAAATAGATGTATACAGTTATGAACTTAGAACTACTTGGGATAAACGAATGTAGTTTCATGTTACAAGTTCAGTAAAACAATTTTTAATAGTTAATGATTTTTTTATCTGAAACTTTTCTTGTGAATGTGTATGGTGTTTGCTTTCTTCAGTTTATTACCATGAATCATTGATGCTACAAGTGTTTCTTGTATTGCACTCAGTTTGTGCATATTTATTTTGTTTCATAGATATAGGTTAGTTTCCATAAGTTCTGTAGTGTTTTCATAGGTTTTTACATTTCAAAGCATGATGAAAAAGCTGGTATAATTAAGAAAGCATTTCTTTTTATATACCAAAACAGACATAAATGTACAAATTTATTGATATTGTTGAGTCACCTTTAACAGCTCTTCTTTTTGAATATATGTAACTAATTTTTCATTCTTTAAAAACAATGTTTATGGCATGTTTGAAAGAACTGTCAGATATGTAAAAGGTGTAGAAAAGGTTTACTTTTATTAATTATAATGTATATTTATGTATAGCGTAGAATATTTTCTTTATTTCACCATTTTGTAGTGTTGAACTTTATGTTATTCCATTTTGAGGATTTATTTATTACAAGATTTGTTTAAATTATTTAATTTATACCATATATTTTGTATATAAATCATTATCTTAAAATGGTTTTAATACAAAATCTATTTTGTATTTTACAATTTTTCAGTTGGGAAAGGAGGAGAAATATGAAATTCTGAATGTGCTAGAATTTACGAGGTAAGACATGCACCAGAACAGACCAAAAGTTAGTGTGTAAAGTTTTTAAAATATTGATGAAAATATAAAGTAAATATACTGAAAATAAGTAAATGTGTATTTATTTGCATTTACACACATACAAAAACTACATATGACAGGTTATTTTCTTACATCCAAGTTTGAAAGTATGAATGACTAAATTAAAAAACAAGTGAAGCATGTAATTCAAAGACAAATGCATAAAACTGCTAAACTGTGTGATGTACTAACAGATTTTTTTATGTATATGGTAATATAACTTATTACATTAATTGTTACTGAAATATGAGACCTGCATAGCTATGGGAAAAAAGGACAGTATTGCAGTAATATACTATTAGCACTGAAGCAGAGAAATAGTCGAAATTATGCAGAAATATTGTTTTGTTTGTTCTTTTACTACTGACTTGGTGGATTACACTTACCACATGACCCCAAAATTACCATCATAACTTACATACTATAATTTTTAATGTGTTTTGCATATCTGCAATTTTATGTTAGATACCTGCACTTGTGGAATTCTTTTTCTCCTTCCTTATATAGTTGATACAACATTTGAAGTGAAGTCTGATTTAAATGTGTATTTGATTAAGTTGATACTTTTGTAGATTTTAATAAGTTTTATTTTAGAGGTGGATTTATTTTTCTAGATAGAAAATTGTTATATACGTAATTTAAAAGGCTGATAATACAGTAATTGCTGAAACAAATATTTGCAGATTCATATGAATCTTTTAAATCTGAACACAAAACATTTTAGGAAGCTTATTACCATAAATATATAGGAATAAATTATTTATTTCGTGAAAGTTTTATTAGTTACACTTACAAGTTGCATTATGAGGTGAAGAGAATATATATGTCATGAAGAGTTTGATATATCTGTGAATCAATACATTATGCTTTAACTATTTTTTGTACTAACACTTATAATTTAAATTAAGCATGTTTGTGTTTGATGTTGAAAAGTACAAAAATTTTTTTTTAATAATATTTACTTGAATTTTGTCTTTGAAAATTTAATCATGTTCTTAAACATTATGTGTGTATTTCAGCTCTCGTAAAAGAATGTCTGTGATAGTAAGAACTCCTAGTGGAAAAATCCGTCTCTACTGTAAAGGAGCTGTAAGTTTAAAATCATAATCTGACTTCATTGAAATTTTTAGTAGAATTATCAGTAATATTGTTTCTTTAGGGTTTTAGAGAATTCAGAAACTCATATAAAAGGTGTCATAAAATTTCATAACTAAGATTCAGAAGACATGCTTGTAAAGAAAAAAGAAATTCAACAAATTATCACCATACTACTTCAAAAAGGTTGGTTATGATGAGGAATTGCTATTCCTGTTTTAATAAAGCTGCTTGTGCTTTAGAAGTTACTTTTTAATAGGTTTTTAGTTAAGATAGTCTTGCCTCATCAAAAAATTTTAACTTTTAAAGAAACTTCTTCCAACTTTCAAGGAACCTTTTGAACAAGTTAAACTCCTTGTGTGACCAATATCACTTCAATATGAAAAGGAAAAAAAAAAATATTTAGGTCACTAAACATCATATTTATTTTTGTTTCTTATTCTGTATGAAAGAAAACTTTAGGGTACATGTATTCTAAAGATCATACAAAATCCACAGTACTTGTTTTATTTGCCCAAATTTGGTTAAGTATCAAATCATGGGAAATAGCTGTACATAAATTTGGGTCAAGAACCATACAGTACAGACAAAAAGCGTTGTCCCATTGCACATGACGATATATATATATATTTAATTTTGGACATGTTCACAAGTCCTTTCCTCAGGTTTGTCAAAACAATTTAGTTCTAGAAGTTCTAGGTGCAGATACATATAAACAGTTATATTTTAAACAGTTTACAGCTGCATGATTGTAAATGCAGTCTGAAATCTTTTCATTTCCAGATACTAATGCTGATCAAAACAGTTGCTTTTATGGGCCTCCTATAGGTATTGAGTTAAATATAGCACATTACAAGTGTTTAAGAAGTTATAAAGCTATTACTACTGTTATAAATGTCCTCTTCAGTAGAAATTGGTCATTTTACAAGCATATATTAATAACTTACTTAATTAATTATTTAGAAAATGATATTCAACTGATAATCAGGAATTTGTCAAGATCTTCAAAACCTGCAGTGTTGTTTTTTTCATTTTCTTATAAGATCATTATTTTCAAACAACTGTGAAGTTCATTAGCATCAGAAACTGTGGAATATAAAAGAAAATTAAGCCTTTTAGCTTTTAACTTTTTCTTTTTCAATCTTTTTGGCACTTTCATTATTAAATTTTTCTCATTCTAAAATTAATTTGTCACCCTTATTTATACATTTTTGAACCCTACTTGTATTTAGAATGTTTGTAAATGTTAAATGATAATAATAATAAGTAAATCTTAACAAAAACTGATTGTTAATTTTTGACAATAAATGATTACTTTTTATCAGCATTAAAATTCAAAGCTAAAGAAAGCTAGAGATGAAAAAAATTATTACTTACAAGAGTACATAAAATTGTGTTAATAATTATATGTGTGTGTTTGTAAACAATGAAAAAACCTCCTAAAACACAGACTAATATAAAATTAATGTTCATGGATGAACTGAAAAGGGGTAAAGAAAAGGTTTCAAACCTTCTAAAACTTGCATTGTGGTTCATTTCATTATATAGTATGGTTATTAAAACACACATATGTCTCATCCCTTACAGCTGTATGTTCATATAATTGTACTGTAAACAGAAGAATTTATCATGAGACTGGAATTAAACTCTACTTTTCATTAGTGTTCATCTAATATTAATATGTTCTCATCCTACTCATGAGTGGTCCATGTTTTCTGTCTTATGGCCAGTGGTGTAGTGGTTTTTTTGTTTACTATAGCAGTCATGTTATTATTGTATATGTTACTGGAAGGGAGTGTTTGTATTTGTTCCTTTTGCTTGGGATATTAGTATTCTTCTTTTTCTTTGGTCTTACATTATTATGAATGCCTGTTTCTACTTTTAATGTATATGACTGTTTTGTAATTTTTGTGCAATGTCTTGCAACATTATTAATGCTTTTGCTACTTTTTATTATCATTCTGTTTTCACCAAAATGTCACTTATGACTATCATCTATAAAATTGTATCACTACTTTTTTATCCAGTTTTAGGAAACTGGTGATCACCATGACTTTTTTTTAAAAAGTAACAAAATAAAGTAGTAGGCAAAGATAAAATGGGGAAATAATAAGTGTCTTTACTGACCAAGATACACACTCAAAACTTTTACTGGTAGTCTTTCAATTAAAACTCTTTAATTACAATTGTAACAAGAATTAGTTGGTTAGTTTATGTTAAACTATGGAAAGATAATAAATGTGTAAAAATGTCTGGGATTAAATGTTTTACAGGATGAGTATAATGTACTTAGTAAGTATAAAAGATAAAGCTAAAAGAAAAAGATTCGTTGATAAATGAATTACAGTACTGTTGTGAATAGCAACAAATTTACATATGTTTTCCAGTAGACTGCATTGAACTATTATTGAAAAGAAGTGTCAGTTGTAGTTTATTCTGTTTTGTTGTCTATAACTACATGTATTAAGATTAGTTTTATAAAATTATAACAATTTATTACATAGTTCTAGTTAATATTTATTTTTATTCATACTTGGTTATATATAATTGTGGTATAGTAAAATACATCAAAAATCAAGTGGGAAGCTGTAGGATATTAATCTTTTTTTATGTGTGTGTGTGTCATTTGTATTGGCATCAGACCAGAAATGTTTGGAAAATTATTTTTTATGATAATAGAACACATGATCTTAAAACACATGTATAATGTATCTCATTTTTCAGGCTGGTTTTGGCTTAGTGGTTAGTGTTCCAGACTGTAAATCATGGGGTCCATGGTTTGCATCCTGTTGCCACGAAATCATGGCTTCAAACAATTGGACTGTTGATGTTTTATATAAAACTGATGGTCAAATCCCATTACCACTATTCATTCAGACTAGCTAACGAGTTGGTGGTGGATGCTGTTAATTAGCTGCCTTCATTTTAGTATAGCAGTTCAAAATTAGGGATGGCTGGTACAGATACCCCTTGTGTAACTTTACATAGATATACAAAATAAACTTATCTGTTACAGCTGTTTTGATTTTTTGCTCTTATGCCTAATGAAGAAAACCTGTTGTCTTTGAAAATTAGGATAACTTTTTTCATTTACATTTGACTCTTTATTTATGTATTTTCTTTTGTTGAGTTACTGTGGATGTATAGAACACAATTTTGTTGGATTTCTCTGGATAAATAATTATTTCAGATTTTAAGTTTTAATATATAGTTCTTACATTATCTTGTAGGTTGTTGTGTGTATGAATTTACAGAAAATGCCCGTGGACCTGATTTAGTTTGGAGGGAAATGGAATACATTACCATTCTTTTTAAAAGGAAATTTATACCAGTTGTATCTTTTAAGTTATTCTTAACTGCAGAATGCTGAGGTATCAAAAATGTGATTGTACATTGCTTTTTTTTGTGGAGATTTATTATTGCATATGACAGGCTGGAAATTTGTTATTCAATGACAATATACTTGGATTTTTGAAATATTATCATGTATTTAAAGTCTACTGGATCATGTAGGAAATAATCTTCTGATCTCCTGACCAAAAAGACCACCAACACCTACTGAAAAATTCATTGATTTGTAGTAATAAATATTTAATTTCCAATATTGTTGATACCACATGATTTCTGCAGCCAATTATCAACTTTATTTTTTGTTTGAGAGGTATTAATTTATGTAAAGTGTTAATATTTTTGTAATTAATATTGCTTTCTGTGATTATTCAACTTGCATTTTATTAATACATTTCTTTAAAATTGTGACAAAGTCAAATCTTGACAGTGTTTTACCAGCCAATTTAATGCTTATGTTAGATACAGTTGCTATAAGTACACAACTCACAAAAATTAATGGATGGTGAGGCTCTGATATGTTTTTTCAAAGTTTGAAGAAAAAACATAGGCAAACAATACCTAACCAGTTGAAAAAAGTTACAAATAAAAAAGCAAAGTGAAATAAAAATGTCAATATTTGGCTGCACAAATATCAAAGAAATAATAAGTTATTAAGATGAACAAACTTTAAAAATGAGTCTTCAGTAGCTGGTAGGTTCACATCTATGACTTCTCTGCACCTGTTCCCCATACTGCTGATAACATTTTGGATGACTTGGTAGGGCAGTACAGTCTGCTGCAACTCTGACCTCCTGGACAGTTGAAGGAGAAGGATGTCTGTTCTCCCAAGCAGGTCTCACACATGTTCAATTAAATTTAGGTCCAGTACCTCTATTCCTTCATACTTGATATGTTAATATCAAGAGGATTCTATGAATTTGACTTTTGTTTTTGGGTTGGATAACATTGTTATTTGATACAGTGTGTATATGATTGTGTTTTTTTTTGTGTTTGAAAAGACCTGCCATCTCTGTGGTTTTATAGAAAAGGTCTTGGCCCTTGCAGAATAAATGTCTTAGTCTTGTGAACTATGCTTTAAGAATGACATCCTTGGTTTTGTAGGGATGGAAAGACTGTCTGTATTTTTGTAGTGTACAGTGGTTTGAAGTCAGTCACTTGATATATGATATCAATGTCAAGAAATTAGGCTTTTTCATTGGAGATTTGGTGGTATTTTCTTCAACTTCTTTATTTTTTTTACATTGACATTTTAGGTGTTGTTACATGTACCAAAGTTGAAATGGAGCATTTCATTGACTTTATCCAACAAATTCATCCAGCTCTTAAATACACATATCAAATATCTGATCCAAGTGCCTCATTTTCCTGTTTTATGACAAGTTTTTCAGTTTCTTGCAAATTTTAATACTGTTCACAAAAAAAAAAAAGATCAATATTTTTTTTCTAAAACAGTATTTTGTTAACATGTTCCACATAAAACATGAGTAATTTGAACCTCCGTATTTTATAACATTTTAAGGATCTTTATTAGCCTAGTTTCTGGCTGAAGAAAGGAGTCTTCTAGAAACGTTAAACAAAATAAAACAAAACAAAGATTTTATTTAGACATTTTAATTTATCCTTTATTATGTTTTATCCTAATTGAAACCAAAGTTTATTTCCAATATTTTTGGGTAGAAGAATTTCACCCCTGGTTGTTTGCTTCCATAAAAGAATAAAAAGTTATTTCTTTAATTTATTCAACTATAACATACATGGGGTAAGAGCATGTAAGACAGTAACCCAGGAATATTTGAAGCAAGAAACCTGTGATTTGAAGTTTGTTTCTGCTATTTTTGTTCATCATGTTCTTCACACAAAACAGTGTTGATACAGTCTTACTCTTAATATTTTTTGTGTTAGTACAGTTTATTTGCATTGTGTGTTACCCATTAGACACAGACACATACAAAATAATGTAATTCAATTTGATGAGCAGAAGTAGTAACTACTATTTTTATTATATTAAAAGGTGTAGAACTGAAATTAATGTAAATTCAGAATATACTTTTGTGAAAATTTATATTATAATTTTATATTTTTTGCTAGTATGTTATGAACATTGACTGACATCAGTGTAAAATAGACTTTTATCTTTATGATAGGATACAGTCATATATGAAAGGCTTGGTGAACAGCATCAGCAGTATAAGGACATTACTCTTCGTCATCTTGAGGAGTTTGCTACAGAAGGTATGAATGTAATGTGTTTTATTAAATGTTTATTCTGAGAAGACTTATAAAAGGAGTTTATCAACTTAAAGTACAAATTAAACCTTTTCAGGACATCCTTTTAAAACATGCATATCTATCCTCATGAACATTTTAGTACCTTTAAGAAAATTTAACTGATCTCACTTTTTTTTACAGTTATCATTTTAAAAATATATAACAGCAAAATCTTTCTGATTAGTTCTGACACCATTATTTATGACATTGTGATGATTTACATGAGTTAACTGGCAACAACAGTGGTGCTGTTTTTGCTATATATTTTTAACTTGTCATTGCAGATTTGTTGCAGTTAGAAACTTCATATTTTCTTTTTCTGAGACATTTAAAATACTTAAACCATATTCAACAGTCCAGTCATTTAATATTTGTAAATTCTATAACACTTTATTATGTACATTTAAATTTGAATTTACTGGATTATTTCATAAAGTTCTGTCACATATTAGAATTAGTTTGTTTTTGCAAAGTTCTTAGTACTGCAGTAAACAGTGTGATTGTAAACTTTTCTTATGTGTAAGGTGTTGACATCTAACTTGATGCTTTTGAATGCTTAAAGAAAAGCAAAATTATTAAAATATAGAATTATCCAAGAAAGATACAATAAAAGTGGAGCCAAATTATAGGCAAACACAGCTGAGACTAGCTATGCCCAATAGGGTGGTCCACGTATATATGGTAAAAAAATGAAAAGGTATAAATGAGAGCTACTGATGCATTTTTTCATTCCATATATGGAGACAGACCTTAGACTAAATTTTGAACTTAATGCATCAATATTTAAGGGTGGCACAAATTTGAAGAAATTTGCCACAAGTTTACTTCTCCAGTTAATTTTCTAATTACCCTTTGTTTATCGGTTGGGAAATGATACTGTTGCATGATCTTCTAAGTTTGTTATATTATTATATACAGTATATTAGAATTCATTATAACTGGGTCATGTACCACACAGTTTCTAGATTTAAGAGGTGGCAATCCAACATCATGCCAGATGACATCACAGTTTGTCAGAGAGAGAGGTATTGCTTTGATTCAAGCATTTAACTCTTCTTATCACTAAGGATGAAGATCAAAAGCAATACCTTCTCCGCACATTTAAACTACACCAAAAGACAATTCTGAACCCCAGAAAGGAAAACTTGATGTCATAATTGTTATAATAAATTGTTGTATTATTATTATAGTTATATGCTATTCAGATATGCAGGACACTATTAACCCATCACCCTTTGCATCGTGAAGGCAAAATCACATTTGTGAATTGAAAAAATATAGAGAACTTATCTTTTATTGGATTTCAGATTTTATTTTTGTAAATAGTGGCATAACATTCAATTATTTGTACAAAATTGTATTATTTAATGAAGTTTAAAGAGGAATTTAATGAAAAAAATCCTAAAATACATTTGAGACTGTAAATAAGTGCCTTCTAAGAAGAAAATTTTTTTTCAAAATTAAAAAAAAAAATTTCCCTTCCACTTCAGCACTAGTCCTGTCATCTATGATTGGTATCTAAACCTTTTTCCAGTCTGTTTTCTGTATAAAACAACATCTGGGTGTGTTAAGCCTCAGTTGTAAAACTTTTAGCCAATCCTAGTCGAAGGTATCAATTTCAGTACCATGTAATTGCAATCACTGTATTTCACGTTTTACAAATCATAGGATGATAAGGAAAGCACGTGACGAAACGTTGTTCTCTGGATTTTACAATATGAATGTGGGTGGTGCTTATTATAGTAACTACCATTTTATGTTGAGGTTGTATTTAGTATTGGCCAATAGTGCTTTTCTATAAGCATTAGAAAACTTGCTTCTGGATGTATGTGACTTTTATTATTTTTATGTAGTAGCTTAAGTCGTGCTGCATCGTATATCTATTTATATTAGTCATTGTATTGAAAAATGAACTCAAAATAGATATATTTTTTTGGAAAGAAGTTGATCCACGATTGTTAGGGTTAAGAGTTATCAAGTGGCGAGTGCAAGGTCTTTACATGAATTAGGCTTAGCATTTTGAACTGAAAGAGTTTGTGATTTTTTATATTATTTTCCATTTAAATTTGTAGTTTTAAGTTCAATAATTTTGCGTAATTTTATATTCAGTTCATAATAATAATATGATTCAGTATTTAGAATGATAAACTTGTGTGATTTGTATGTAATACTACTAGTACAAGTACCACATAAGAATTTTATATTTTTCCTTTTTGCAATCCTTTCTTTGTAGTAAGACCCACACTTCTGTTGTTACTTGTCAATGGTTCAAAACTCAGTATACAAGTGACAACAATAAAACCCAAATGTTGGTTGTGAAACAGACTAAATACATTTGTCTCAGTAATACAGGGAAGCTATGACATTCTCACAGTTGGGGTCTCAATACACTGAAGAGCTTAAGTTTCAAATTCCAACATAAATCTTGGCTGTAATGAGAGAAATGTGACCAGGACAAATCTTTTAAGTGCTGTAAAGTAATTTTCTTTGTAATTTATGGTGTCTGTATCATTTGGTAATCTCTTCTAACAGGATGTATCAAGTAACTAGGGGTCAGGCGGTGTTATTCAAACCACCTGTACTGTAAAATATTACATATATTCGCTAGTAGTGGCATTTAGTTTTGTCTGTATAGTGAAACAACATACATGGACATATGTTGAAATAAACTTGTTTGAAAGTTCAAAGAAATGGTATTCAAGTACTGAAAAATTTCTTATTATCATATCTACAGTAATGTTGAAATGCGCCTGTGCTGGACTGAAGAAGAGTGACCACCAAAAGGCATGATAGTTTACGGCAAATGTACAAAGTTCACGCTGCTAACCTCACGATTTATTTGGCACAATAAACAAAAGTATAGCTGCAATGAAACATAAACATAAACTTGAAATAAAAATAAGTTTATGAAACAAAATTAAAATGTTTTTTATGTACATATATAAACATGAAATCCTAGTTGAAAATAAAAATACTCTTTTATTGTTTAGGTTTATTTACAAATATTATTGTTGGGTCTTGTATATTACTTGAAACCATAAGGAAAGTATGTGATTATTACAAAAATTAAAAATAGATAAAATTTGCATTTTATGGACAATACAAATTTTTGGAGATTTCAAAATAATGTACTAAAACATAAAAAGTAATAAGTTCAAATCTGGAACAAATATAAATATTGTACTAATTTCTTATAAATACCATTTCCTAATGTAATTTTCCGATATATTAAAGATCAAAATAAGTAAACTTATCAAAAGTAACAGGCTTTACGTTT